ATTTTATTTTATGGAATGAAATATACTGTAAAGATTATATCTGATTTAGTCTATTCGTGTGAACTGTGAATGAAAAAAAAGCGTCGTAATCGCGTGATTTAGACAGCGAATCAGACCGTTAATGTTTCATCTCTGTTTTCTAGGGCTATAGTACAACTAAACTTTTACGTAGTTAGAAATAAAGAAACGATAAAAGTAACTAGAAATCGTTACCGTTACCCCAGAAATGTAATTGCAAAAATGTTATCATGAACATTATTCAGAAAAAAAATATAACGTCATTACCCGTTACCGAAAAAAGTAACTTATAACAATGTTACAAATAACGCGTTACTTGTCAACCCTGTCAAAATGACATTTTTAACGTCATTTGACATCAAAATGACGACAATAATGATGACAATAATGTCAATTTATTTCTTGGAATATATTTCACCCTCGCAAAGAAAGCGACATCGATTCGAATTCCGTATTATATGCGTAGTCAAGATTTTATTTAGAAGGGAGATCAAATTAGAATTGAGATTTTTGAACCCGGAGAGAGGCGTAAGATAGTCCAATGGTATTATAGAATATTGGACTAGTTTTGTTTTATATTATTTTTAATTAATTACTGAGATAGATAAATCACAAAATTACATTATTTAATTCACTAATTTACTATATAATAAATAAGGTATTATTAATAAATCCAGAATAGACTTAGGATAGGATAGATAAATATCTTATAGATAGGATAGGTCCCTTATTATAATCCCTATTATAAACTTCTAGTAAATATCTTGGATATGAATTTTAGGATAGATTATAGTCCTTAGTATAAGTATTATTAAGGATAATATAAATATAGTAAATATAGTAAATATATAAGCTATTTTATGAGTTAAAATATATTTTTTTTTCTTAACATTGTTAAACTTAACATAATTAAACTGATTCTTCAAACTAAAAAACTTAAATTTATAACATTAGTCGTCTTATACTCGTATTCATATTCAGGCCTTATATTTAAGGCTTCCTTAAAGTTATCTTTAGATATTCTACGAATTATTTCATTGGCTGCTGAGCATCTAAAGATAAATTTAGTTAGCCTTAGGAAACAGTAGTTAAGTACAAGGTCTGATTATGAATACGGGCATTAAAATATCTCTCTATTTTTAAAAATCTCTATTCTCATATTCTTCTCAAAATATCTTTCTATAACTTTCATCTTCAATTCTTTCTTCTTTTCTAAAACTAATTTTTTTCTTGTAAATACTCATTAGTCCGTTTAGTTAAGTTTTTAATTTTATTTTTGTTCTTTAAAATTTAGGAGAGGGCCACACACATCCTCCCGCCTTCATAAGTTATATATGTTTATGGTGCTGATTATGTTTTAAATGCATTAGCTTTCAATCAAGAAGTGATACAAATTGAAAAAAAAAACACAATTAGGAAAAACACAAAGAAAAATGACAAATCAAATAGAGATAATTTTTGAATACCGTAACAAAATTAATATCTACATTATATACCTAGAAAATTTAAAATAATTAGCAATTTGTGATGAGCTTTAAATTAACTTATGTTTAATTTTATAATAAATAATTAATTTTAAAATACGTTTTAAAATTTTCTTTTACTCTCTTCTGAATTTCATATTTTTTAATTGTCACTTTTCTGAGGGAATGCGATACATATATTCAAATTTGCTTCATTATTAATGTGAAAATAGTCGCACGATTTATATCTATTGTATGATATGTATGTGTGTGTGTGTGTGTATTATATTTATATATATATAT